TTTATTCGATCGCGCTAAAATGGGAGATACGGAATGACTGTATAGGAATTTTTACACCACTTCATTTAAATTCAATATAAAGCAAGCTCATAAATATGTTTCTCAGTCAAAAGTCAATTTTTGAAGCGCAACACGTGCTCTTGTTTGGAGGGAGGTAAACATTTTTTTGAAATTCCCGTTCCTAAATAAAATAAAACTCGTTTTTGTTGCGTTAACAATAAAACGCGTTATTTATTTTATCCGATGGACGTAAAATTAATGCTGTTAATGAATTTTGTATATTAATGAGTATTTTTAAGGTATCATTTGTACGTTCGTTGCTATTATCATGTGACCTTTCCGCTGAGCTTGTATTACCACCATAATTCATAGCACAAATCACTAAGATTTTTATAGTATAAATGACCACATTCGTATGCTAATGACCATCTGAACTGTCGCGCGGTCCGGCCTGGGTCATCTTTATAACCGGTGATCTACCGAGCAATGTGCCATATTTAATTTAACTTGATTTCACTACATCAAAATTTTCTTTATATAGCGACCAGTTATGTTCAACGAAGAACGCGCTATAAATAATTTTATTAATTAAAATTCTACTAAACCGCTTTAAAAACAATGTTGTTATACGTAAAACAACTCGTAGGTTTCGGAATTTGGAATTATATAGCGACAATATTATTTTTTTATGATCTTAATCTATCGTTTTATGTAGATTGTTGCGTTTTGATAGGTAAAATATATGTATTTTACATACCTAACTCGCATCGGGTCGCTATAATAAATCTTTCAGCTAAGATGATCAAACTTATTCCGTTTCGAGGTCTGGGCCAACAATCCTTTAATAATAAATTAACTTAGCCAAATAGATATGAAGCCACGAAAAATAGACGTTATAGCAGATGCGTCAGGGCCAGCTGATGCAAAAAATGAGCAACTTACTGGCGGACATCTTGTTTCTAACAGTGGAGTCATACTGGTTAGTTGGATAATAATTCTTATTTTAATATTATGCAAAAAGAAATGCAATGGCCGTTTGATGGCTACTAGTTCTATACCCAAAGGTTTATCAGAATGTTCTAGAACTGCAGGTTTTGGTTGATTTTTACGTCTTTACAGAACTCACTCTACCTCTCCGATTTAGCTGTTATAGTTCAAAAGAGCGACTATATACATTTTCCGAACCAAGAAACTGAAAAAGTTGTATAGAGGATTGTCAGTCCAAGTAATGTAAGTATGTATTTTACTATTTCGCCGTCAAAATTGGTGAATAACTGATTCTTTTCAAACGAGGACCTCATTCCGAAGCACTTGGCCAACATTCTTGGGAGGTCTGTAATTTTCAACGAAAACATCAACAGCTTTTTACCGCTTGCTGTGCTGAAATGTGAGTAGGGCCTGCTAGGTCGATCGCTCCCAATAAAATAATGAACTCATGTGTGAAGAAAATGCAATGCACAATCTTCCAATTATATTCACCGTTAAAATAGTAATAAAAGAAAGAAAGACAGAAAAAAAGAAAGAAAAAAAAAGAAAAAAGAAAGAAAGAAGGGGCTTTTGCGGCCTGAGCTAGATGCCTTTCAAAAAACAACTGACGACAGGGTGATCGGCTAAATCCGTAGATAGAATTAAGGAAAGGGCGGAGCGATGGGAATTGAAGGAGGCGTTCTTGCCTGTCTCGTAGTGCTGCTGCTGTTGCAAAAACTCCATCGTCTGCGAAGGAGAAATGCCCTTATTCGCACAGAAGAACCATTAACCTTTGCATGTTGCCCCGTATCTACTGTTTGATGGTCGGTTCTGTATGGAGCTAAGGATGGTTTCCACCATATTCGCCGATAGAAGTTTTAAAATAAAGGCTTCCGCTAGTAGTGTAGGTTTCTCCACCAAAGGGTGAGGGTGTGTCCTGTAAGGGTGAGATAAAAGATCTTTAGACGGTTTGAAAAGGGCCTTTAATAAGTAATTTTGAAAAAAGGTGGAAACCGAGCCTGGCTTTCCCCCCTAAGGACTATGACTATCCCCTCGGCCTTATCGGCAATTATCTCTCAATATCAGGGCAAAAAAAGGTGAGAAAGCGTAGAAGGAAATCTTCCACGGGATAGTGAAACGATCGACCTTAAGGGCAAAAACGTCTCTCCGCCAAAAAACAAATAGCTTGCGTTTGTGATTGTCTCTGGAGGCAAATAGATATACTTCTAGTAATCCAAAATGTTTAGTTATCAAGTCAAAGGCCTTGCTTGATAGATAAGATGTTATGCTTTTGATCTTATTTTACGAATCGTAGCCAGCATGTTTGGCACAAGGGCCTACTCAGTTAACTCTATGTTGAATGGGAATTTTTTTATTTGAAATGGATATAAGTGAAGAAATTTGTTCATTTTTCATATTAAGGTTAGTTATTGTAAATTTAGTCGGTAGGTAATTGTTTAATTCATTTAATTCTATTGGTTGTATTTAGTTTGTATGATAAATTTAAAATGAGTAACTAAGGGAACATGTAATCAAAGTTTTATCTGGGCAGGTGTTATCGGACAAGAATTAATTGGTTTTTCGACAAACAATGTCACGTGCGAGATAAGCGACGCAGTCGTTTTATCAGTTGGAAGAATGAAGAACAAACGGGGCTGTCTCGGGTTATTTTGAAAGAGAGCGTAATTGTTTGGGACGTTAATTTTAGTACCGGTTATGTAATTTAAAAATAAGAAATATAATCGTCCTCATGTTCGTTAAATAAAGCAGAAACAAATGTAATATTGTGCAAGAAGTTTGTACGCATGGAATTTTGAGTTTAAAAAGTATGTGTTATCAAAGAGTATATTATACTCAATTATGAAGAGTGAAGAAATAATGGTGTATTACATGTATTATTATTATTTACAGAACTGTGAGTAATTTTTAAGATCTCTTCATTTGTTTTTAGATCATCCGTTTGCAAACGGGGTGTGTTCTATTCAAATGACACTGTTAGCCTTAATTTTTTGTCTTACATGATTTTTTTTGTATTTTATATTCATTTCATGACGTGTATTAAATAAATTCTTGCCATTTTTCATTGAAATTCATAGTCTCATTTTTCTGTCAGATTTTTCTAATTTTTTTATCCGGATGTTATTTCCGATTTTATTTAAAATTTGAGTAGTGATTACTGGTCCTGAGTTGTTTGGACTGGTTTTTTGCAATTTTCTCCAAGAGAAGGAGGATTTTATATTGTGGATTTTCACTTATCACGCGAGTACGACCATTGTATCTTCCACCTGGTTAATTTTGTAATTCTCATAGAAACTCTTCAGAAGTCGAACCCGTGGCAATTGATGCGGTATTTTCATTTGTCTTACGAGTAGCCCTCTTATTTAATTGAGGTATGTGGGAGATCCGTTAGTAAGGATGTTACATATATTTGCCTTTTAAGTCTCAGATCAGATTTAAGTTCTGGTATGAAAGAATGGTTTCACGTACCAGATCAATTTCTTTTCTGCCATCTGTACCATATATGAACCCGAGATAACAAAAAGGCGACCATCTTATCTACATCGAACGAGGCCGTTGGGTGAAGGGGAATTAATCACAAAAAGGAACTTTTTTTATTTGGATCTAATAAACTTCCATCGATCCTTGATCGACTTTACTCTCGGTATTAATGTAGATGTGAGCTCCATCAGAGAAAGAATAGATGTACCTATTCGGTATTGAAGGGAAATCTAAGAGGGCGCATTCCAGTTAAATTGAAAGAACCAATCAGATGCGTCACCGTAAGAGACAGCTTGCCCTCTTAGATTTCCCCTCTCTTTCACCTGCAGTATCCGCGCTTGTACATTTATTATATGTCGATGGTTTAAACGGGGTATTTCATTAAGTGGGGTTTGCAAATTAATATTAATTGGTGCTGTTGATACTTGAGAATATTTCGTATTTGCGGGAAGGGTGGAGAACGTGCATTACTTACTTTCCCTTGTAGCTGCCAAGTTTCTGGGCTGGGTGGCGCTCAACTTTGGGTAAGTTCAAAGGAAGCCGAAGATACGTATATGCGCAGCACGAACCATTTCATGTTTTTGTTGGTTCTTAATGGTAACATCCAAGAGCTAGCTGACCGTTTAATTTTTTTGAAACGCAGTTTGACCCCCCCGTGATACTATTTCTACGGGGACGCTAAAGGGAACATCCCGGAGGAAAAAATTCCAAGGTTGAAATTTTAATGGGACCCTTTGGTCGCAAATATTGTGAGGAATACTCCAGACGCCTAATTTGTTACATATCTAAGGATCTAAATATAGATTGTTTGTAGTTATTTGGTCGCTGTATTATCAAGGTGAAATTGAAACCGAGATTGAGTCGATTGAGACCGTTGAATGTGTCCAAAAGAGTTCCTGAGATTAATTGAATACAA